ATGCATAAGTACCGACAGTTTAGCTTAGAACGCGGAACCTCCTTTGGAGATACGATCTTAACGCGCAGGCGTTCGACAAGCTTAGAAAAAAAAAAAAAAATAAACACAAATCGAATAGTTGCCTACAGATAATTACAGCAATAACTAATGTTATTAAAATGCTCGAGGCGATCCTAGTCGAAAACTATTTCAGTAAATAATAAAAGTTTTATATATATATATATATATATATGTGTACATCAACGTTATATATAGTTATTGCACAATTAATCTTATATCTAGGTGCTATCACAGGTGAGTCTATGTGCAATAGCTGTCAGTACCACCTGATACGTTATGTCCAAAACTTTTGATTTTTGTGTACTGAAAATGTTAAAAGTTATAATAATAACAAAATTATCTCGACTCGGAATGAGAAATTAAAAGTTCCGTCGCCATTTAAAAAAAAAAAAAATCTTAAAGAGATAAATATAGCGAGAAATTATAATTGTAACGGTAACCGTAATGTACCACGCATTACAATGGTTTCGCGTGCATTGTGTTGATTTATATTTTATTGTTAAGTGCTCCTGAAGCAGTATAGCAATGAGTAGTACGTCGCAGTAATAATGACTTCTGATCGAACGAAAAATTGTTTTTCTCTTTTCCACACGAGTATAATATTGCATTGGCCGGGAAAACGAATGTTTAAATGTTGGACAATATTAATCCGTTTACGACCGCGCGTGTACATACCGCGGTGTCTTCGTGCGCGATCGTAACGCAATAACGCTATTGTTTTTGCATAACAATCAAACGAGACTCGATAATGTGAGCGGCGACGGAAAGCAGTGTAAAAGCATTTAATTACCGTAAACGGTTTCGCGCAACGGAACATCGAGGTACATAAATCGACGCGGGTCGGCGGTACGAGTGTTATTTGCACACAAAACGTTTTAGGTTAGCCCTGCTGCCGAATTGGATTACGAATCGATAATCAGGACGATTCGGCTGCGTGACGTGTACGATGCGTAAATATTATACATGTAATGGTAATACGGAAAACATGCCGCCGCGGTCGCGTGCGTTGAACGTACCGTGGGGGGGAGGGACAACGCGGAAAGGGCAACGAACCTCTTTACGGCGACTTGTCCACAGAGTTCTCATTGTTCATTCATCCGACAAAATCCATATGTTTTATTACACGAGAGGAGAGAAAAATAACAAATAAAAAAAAAAAAAAAAATTATGTAAAAAGTAGTTACGGAGCATCGTCGTCGTCGTCGTTGTCGTCGCCGTACAGCAGCGGTAATAATAGTAGGTAAAAATAGTAACGCGTACATCGAGCACAATCTGTACGCGCGGACGGGGTGTACCGGTGGGGCGGTGAAGTAATTTAACGCGTAACCGGAATTATGGTATAAGGTTCTCAGAGCGCGGGAGTAAAGGAATTATTAATGCTTTGTTTGTAGGTACGCGGTAGTGCACTATCAAAAATGCAATAATTTGCCATAAAACCGACTTCCAAACACCTCCTGGGCCGGTGAGAACGTTATAACATCGTATTGTTTTAAAAATAACCAGTTACCAGCATACGAAATCATTTAATTGCGTGCCAAAATCATTAACCCGATTAAAATATATGAAAAAAAAACACATTAAATTCCTTACACAGTTTATTATAACTGTCCCGTCGTCTGACTTTTGTGTGAATTATGTTTTCACATTGTTCGTCGTAAAATTGTTCATTCCTGTTCGTTGACGAAACGTTACAATGCCACACGCATTTTATTTAATCTTAGTTTTTTTTTTTTATTTCTATTCGTGCGGTGTATCGTACACTAATACTCGTCTTGAAAAATATTTAAACACGTGTACGGTTTTATGTGTACGATTTATACTATACAATAATAATATACTATGGATTATAAATTATTAATTCCCGGCGTGCTCCACATAATATTATAATAGTATTATTACTACGCTACTTACTCGACGTAAAACTTAATAACAATACTAACAATACTTTGATTGATGAATACTTAACGCTAATTTATCTGAATTATAATCCGTTTCAAACAGATTTTTGTGACTCTTGACGTAATAACATGTTTTTCTTTCACACATTTTAACTCATGGACCGCGCGTACTATAAAGATATTCCGTTCGTTCGTGATGGTCGGAAAATATTATTTACTATCAACAATTCCTAGTTAATACTCCGCTTCTCGGTCGTCTATATTATTCCTTTCTTCATTATTAAAACATAACGTTATGACTCCGACGAATATTGTTCTAAAAAAAAAAAAAATTCTTCATCGGAAAACCGTCGGAACGTTGACGCTTGTTTTGTTCACGAGCAGCGAAGTACGATATGTACACAACAACTCGAGAACAAATCTTTCAATTACTCTGCGTAAAACGTATTTCATAGACACGTGTAGTATAATATAAAATATGTACATATAGATACGTTTGCGCGTGCACTGCGTGGTGTGTATAATATTATTCACATGTGTCGATGTAATAAGAACGTCTTTTTATGATTTCCATATTGTATTTCGCCGATTAAATGACTCGTTTGTTCCTGTATACGTAAATATTGGCTTTTATCTCCAAATGTAACGTGTGTAAATATTAAACCGCATAATGTTGCTTTGCATGTACAAATCGTCTTGTTATAAAATGGTGAAAAATAATGAAAAATATAATACGTCTCTTTTAACCTCTATTCGTAAATCGTTCTTGTAGAATCGCACGGAGACTCGAGTGAATATATATTAGGTATATAACGTTTAATCAAATCTGAAATCACTTGAAAGTATCATTTTTTTCAACGATTTTTTCACCATACTTTCTTCTAATTTTGACGACTAACGCATTATTTGTGAGCAAAACTCGGAAATTATAGCAAAAAGAAAACAAAATATGCACAAAATAAATTTTAAAATATGCAAACATATTTAGTAAACACGCGAAAAAATTTTTCTGAATTCTGTCTAAAAAAATACATTTAATGTAGTTAATAAATTAATAATATACACAAAAACTAAATTGAAAAAAAATGTATAATTTTGACATCTTGAAGTGAAAATATAATTAAAAAATATTTTTCAGTATTTTTTAAGTTGTATACGAAAAAATACATGTTTTGTATTACCTGTTATAAAATTAACATTTATTGTATTGAAACATCAATACTTTCTTAAGATTTTAAATTTAAAATGACCGACCATTATTCGATAGAAGATTTTCATATCCAAAAAAAAATATTTTTCGGCGTCAGATTAGATATTTAACTTTACACAGGTTAAGAGAGAAAAAAATGAATTATATTTACAAATTATTAAATATATACAATATGAATATGAAAATCAACAAAATATGAATTTTTAAATTCACCCATGTATGGCTCGGATTTTTAGCTTGGTCTACCATAATTTGAGAGCATATAGAATATTATGTATCATATACAACTTTCGAGCCCTATTTGTGAGTTTAACAGACGTAATTATTAACTAGAATAAGTAAAAATACACGCAACAAATATTATTCATATGTAACTTTGTAAAGCAAATATAACATAGTTTTTCGTTGTGGCAGTTATAATATTAATAAGACACATGCTTATGTGAAATTACTCTGTTGAATATAAAATGAAGAGCTTTTCAGTTGTAGGATATGTATTTTTATCTGAAACATCGATGAATAATTTAGTCTTTTGCTACACTGTTCAGAACTACGTGGTATAATGTAAGTATAACATTAGTTGAAAAAAAAAACAATTAATCATCACCCACACACTGTTTATTTTTACACATTTTCGTACGTAGTAAATATAACAGTAAATTGCATAAGAATACCTTTTAGGAAAATAAAAATAGTGCTATCAAGAAATATTTCAATCGTTTGAGCGTATTATTGAAAACCCCGTTAACTAGAAAATTATTGGAAAAAACTGTACGAACATTAACACAGTGTTTAGTTTCGGCTTTTGAAAGTTTCAACGAAATACACTATTTCGAAACAACACGAGAACGCTTGACGTGTACGTATGTAATAATAGTATTATTATTATAATATATTCGATTTATAAAAACGTTTACGCAATACCGACAGCGGTATTGTGCGGCGACGGCGGTCACTTGAAAGTAAAATTGTATGTTATTTTCATCGTTAGTCAACTGAACACAATTATAAACAAATCTTACCGCATGTATGTTCATTATGGTACACTTGCGGACGAGCAACAGTGTTATGAATATAACAAAAAAACTCGTTTTGCATTCGACCGGCCGTCGGGTTCGTAAAAAGATACATAATGTAAAGAGTCACATTATTTTCCGTGCATGTGAGTGTTTGTCTTCTCTCACCACCACGTGTACTCCGTTCGTCGTCGTCGTCTCGTCGTTGTTTACTTTAATTTTAAGTGTCAGAAGGGAAATACAGGAAAAATAAAGACCTACAGAGAGAGAGAGAGAGAGAGACCGACAAGGATAGTCCATGTATAAATATAAAAAGGCACGGCAGCAACGGTGTACACATATGTTTTTATTTATTTATTTTATTTTTTTCCAGAGAAGGGGAAAAGGAAACAAGTATCGAAGGTAGACAGAGAGAGAGAGAGATAGTGTGAGTGAGAGGGAAGAAAAAAAAACTTATACGACGTGAAATAACGGCGGATGCAAATATATTCCTCTCGCCCACCGCAATCGACCGATTTTATACGGTCGTGCGACTCTCGCGCGCCTGCCACCGCCGGCGCACAGCCGTATCACCGCCACGCCACGCCCCGGGGCCCGAACCGGATGCGTCTAGAGAGCAAAGACCGCTGGCTGGGTGCATCCTTGGTGTGCCACGCGAGCCCATTTACCAGACCGCTGACCGACCGGGACATGCATGCGGTGCGTATGCAACCAACACGCGGTGGTGCACGATGTGCAGCGGGTAACCAACTCCCCGTCACGCTTACGCCTTTGAGAGTTATAGCCTTTTTTTTTTCTTTTTAATACGGACGGTATCGTAGGGGGCCGGAAATACCGGTGGGTAATTCGCCAGCTCTCCTACATCGTTTATTGATGACAACAGTAATACAAATTAACGAACATACAAATCTAGAAAATTTACAAAAATTTGAGGTGCTCTACCCCCTTCTCGAGTTTGCCCTTCGGGCCACAAAGAAAGCTTATTTAAGGGCGGGGTAAACGTTGTTGCTCCCTCTCCTCTCCTTCCTTGCGGGACAGCACGTAGTTGACAAACTTGTCAACTGCCGACCAATTGTTTCTCTATGTGAGCATACTCGGGATTGCGTGTTCAGGGATGAATTCACAGCCGATATCCACTTGCAGCTCTCTCCTCTGCCGAAACCACCTGTCGCATTGGAAGAACGCGTGCTCTGGGTCATCCACGGGCGCCTGAAAATCGACACACGCAGGCTCATTCATCTTCTTAATCTTGTGGAGATACTTCCCAAAACACCCGTGTCCAGAGAGAAATTGGGCCAGGTGAAAGTTTACGTTTTTGGACTTCCTGCTACACAAACGGGGTATTTCAGGGATGAGGCATCTGGTTCATTGACCTGTGGTCTCAGTAGCCTATATGCTCTGGCATGAGGCTAAGGTACGGATTCTGAGGCGGGCGCACTGCGCGTCAGCCGTGATTCCCCCCTTCTGCGCTTTTACAAAGAAGGCTGCCAGCTATTCTTTGGCCAACAGGTCAGCAGGCGGGATGGACGCCAATATGTTGGCGGCCGCCTTAAAGATAGCCCTGTAAGCGCAAGCACAGCGAAGCAACACCTTTCGCTGGGTCTTGTTTAGAGTTATAGAGAGTTATAGAGTTATAGAGAGTTATAACCTAGGGATGGCAAAAAATCATTAACAATCGATACATCGCATACTCAATATCGATACCACGATGTATCCATTTCTATTATGTCGATATATATTGGAAAATTTTTCCAATATTTAAAAAGGTTTACTAAAAGGTTTAGACTTGTACATAGGACATAGATATATATATATGTATAGGTTATAATTTATTTGAATACAATTTATAAGCCGTAGACCGAGACCGTAACTAGTAATCGGTACTTACTACAGGAATAATGACAAATAAATTAACTAATCAAAGCATGTATATTTTATAAAACCAAAACAATATTAATACATTTAAATTGTAATTTTTATATATTGCAATACACGCCCAAAATATTATAATGAAAATAATTTTATTTATATTATAAATATATTAATATTTATATTTAACGTCCCAAATAATTTATAATAGTATATAATAATGTCTAATATCCCGAAGATTAATCACATTAAAATATCGTTAGACACGATAATATCTAGACGATTTAATGGTACCGTCGAATCGATGTAAAATGTCAAGATATATCTTTGCCATCCCTATTCGTCACTCTTCCACATTCGACGTCGTCGGAAACTCTCGTTCGTGTGATCCAGAGCCGTCTACAGGTTTTCCACAAGTGCTCCTATAGGCGTATGACACCACCATTCGGTGCAAGGGTGAGCGCGAGAAAATAAATTCCTAGAAGGTTTTCGAAAACCTTTTATTATAATTTCTAGTCCGTGTGATTTTTTTTATAACATTTTATCGTTAGGTGAACCCCCTTGCGTGGTCACCGAGTAACCAGCAACCCACTCCCATAGTGAATTTAAGTCTATTATATCATCAGCCTCACACCCACCATCCCTTTATATTTTATGTAAAATTCAGATCAATACGGATTTGCCGATTATTATTTTTTCATTTCCGATGTCGGAAAGTGAATGCGCACATTCGGTTTTAAACTTGGGAGTGCTTAAATGATTTACCCCGTGATATCCCACGGAGACCTTTACCCCCTACACCTACTTGACATTAAATATTTTAATTTGAAAATAAATTATCAAATGTTTACAACGAAAAAAATAAATCGAGGATACTTAATAATTGAATAACGTGAGATACTAAACATGGGATTTATTTTTTTGGGTCGACGGAGTATAATCGTATACTCGGTAGTTCATTGAAATTATAATTCTGTGTATAATTTCGACATAATTACTAGTGTATTACCAATACAAATCGAAATAAACAAACTCTCATGCAGGCAGAAATAATACTCTTCGTATAAATATAATAAATCATCCTTTATAACTCAGCATGAACTACGAGCGCTTATTTATGACTTAAGGATGCTCAATGGTGTGCTTCTTGTCTTATAAACGTTTTCGGTACATTCGAATCCAGAAACTCTAGGGGTTGAAGACCACAGAGAGGTACTATAGAAACTAGAGACAAATAACAAAATGTAGTGACAGCGGAAAACTCTTAGAGACTAGTCCAATATGCCAGTGGCAATGAAGAATTATGAGTTCCTACTGCAGGATCACTGCGAGTAATATGATAAAAGTTGCAATAGTGAAGAGAACGCAAAATAATCGAATCAAATCGTACACGCGTACATTCAAATGTATACATATACGAGTATAAAAAGCCGATTGGTGAACAATAAAAGTACAAATCATATTGTAACTAGATCAAGGTCTAACGATTTTTTAACGTGACCCGGTTCGTTTTGCGAGAACAGAAATCGAAAGGGTCGATATATATATGTATAAATATATATGGTATATATTATTGTAGCCAATGAAGTACATTCAATCTTGATCTAAGCGAGGGGGAGTTAACAAAAATAATCGTCATCTTTTTTTTTTTCGTTGCACAGATAATTAACTGCTGTAAATAGATATTATTTTATACAAATTTTTTACCAATTTACAGTTTACTTTTACATTACAGTAAATTAATAGCTATTGGAATATAAAAACAGCATTGTTAACAAAACTTTTCAAACACCTTTCAATATAATTATTCAAATATTATAATATTTGTATAATTGTATATTTTAAGTTCAAACCGTAATAATGAAACTACGAATATTACGAATATATTACACGTCATCAATAATAAAACCATTTTTTTTTTTTGGGCCTGGGAGGGGGAGTTTGAACACCGGCCCCCCCCCCCCCCCCGTATGTACGCCACTGATTGTAGCTACACGTTTGGCGATCGCAAACGTTAGTACATAATATTTCGCGTGTTCCGTTTTCCAACAGGACGTTGATGCGACCGCTCGGATAGGAAGTGTCACCGAGAAGGTTAGACGTGTACTACTACGACGGTAAATCACAATGGTGTTCATAGAAATACGGACGGCGCAATCATATTAAGTACGAAGTGTCCGTATGGCGTTTTGTGGTTTCGTCCCGGTGAAATTAATCGCCGTAAACGGTTCGCGAGACTTGACGAATTAAGACAGGTACGCTGCACACGAATATTGAGTATCATTAATTACGGCCGGTAAACGCTGCAACGGCTCAGCCGGCCCAGTAGCTGCGGACTCATCGAACTCGGCCATGAATATTATGACGTTGAACGAAACGTAAATACATGTACCGTCGACCACACGGTGGTTTTGCAGTGTTTTGGTTTCGAATGACATTATTTCACTGCAGAAGTGCACTGCAGCGATTCGTGGTGGAATCAAGGTAACGCGTTACCCGGGCCGTACGTGCACGGTATATTACGTATAGATTGTAACTGTTTTAGAAAAATTAACTGTTCAATTAGTTTTAAATAAGTATATTTTACACCACGAGTTGGCACGTCTATTACTTAAGCCTAGGATTATAATGATTTTTTTTCTATAATGCGTTTTAATTTGTTGAACATTGGTAGCGATTTCACTCGTTAGTTAATAATCGTTCCCGCCCAACGGTACGGTATGATGATATTATTGATCTTCTCTCACATTCAAAAATATATTAGACTATATAAAATTATTATATAGTTAATACGACAATGTTATTAAGTACATGCAACGTTTACATAGGTAAAAAATAATTTTACCTAGTGTTATTATAACTAAACAGTTGGTATATTTTTTATATGAATTCAACAAATAAATTATATTTAGCATGGTTTCTGCAGTCCATCGTTTAGTATTAAAAACACAAACGGTGTAGTCTAACTACCACTATACGTCTAAAAAGCTAACCGGAAATCATTATTCGATAAGTAAATAACTTTTATGTCAAGATAGTGGATAACGATTTTTTATTAATCCGTTAAAGTTTTTATTAGTCAAAACTTATAACTAACAGCAAAATATTTTACTAGATTTTTGAAATTTTAAATAACACAAAACATTAGGTATCATTAAATTATTATAATAGATAATTAAATTATAAATTTTATAATATAGTCAATGGATTTCTGTCGTAGCTAAAATGAACATCAAAATAAACTTCTGTTCAAACACATCATTCCCTTTTAACTGGCCGACAACGACCCTTCCTCCGAGGGATTACCGAGCCACCCCACATTTCATAATAATAATATGGGTGTAAAAAAGAAAAAAAAATACTCACTGTGTTTGCACCATTTTCGTCAACAAGCCTCTGTGATTATTATCGAAACAAGAAATATTTAAAATGGGTTTAAAAAAAAAAAAAGCATTCAGTTTTGTTTTCCACGCACGCATACTTAATTGCTACTATGTAGTTCTAGCCTTTAGAAAATAATATAATAAGACGTTCTTTTCTCTGTCAAACGTATATTCACTTGTTTGTTTTCCCTCTGAACTCCGAGTGAATCAATATTTAACGAGATCAACAGATTTCGATTAAAACCCTCCGAAGAAAAATATTTACAGACATTGTAATAACATTCGCACACATGTAGTCGAGAAATATTACCACAATGCGAATGAATTTCAAAGTAAGTTACAAATTTAAAAGGATTTAAAAAAAAAAAAGAAAAAAAAAAGAATCAATGGGGAAAAATGTACGTATTTTATGCGATGTATAATTAATAGTAATATTATTATAATATGTTTAACTCGCATGTATCATGAAAATAAGACGATTTTAGGATTTCGGGTTTGAAATACTTCACGAATAGGCAGTAGGCAATTAATTTCTCGGTCGAATTGTTTAAATTATTGTTGAGATATTACCAAAAATTCCTTGCCAAAAATATTTTATTAGTTAATTCCGATACCAATCGACCAGCGCTTGTACTTTACAGGCAACGCGTACGCGCATTTGTGTAGCGTTAATTTTTTGATTGAGCTCGGATTTACAACCGTTCCGGTACGATATATTTAAATTGATTTCGTCGTGCTTAATAGCATACACTCTGCGTTCACTTACACACCGACGTACCTGTGGATTATTGTCGTACACACAACAATATCGACTAATACATTTCACCCTAAAGCCCGGACGTATGCCGCAGTCACGGTTTAATAACTAACCCGTCATAATCGTGACCGACGTCGGACAGCTGCTGCTGCTACCGCCGCTGCTGTGTACATAGTCAGGCCTCCGCGTGCGCGTGTGCTCTCGTTCCAAAAATTATGGTGGTACACATAATATAATAAACCGACGCAACGAACCGCGTGCGCTACGTAAATTATTTGGATAACAATTATTGTTTACAACATTATTGAACATCGTAGCCGCAGAACGCGATGAAAATAATAATAATAATAATTATTTTATCGCACCGATGTGGTTCGGGTTCGTACTCGTTCGCTGCGAATCGATTTGTTACGATACATAGTACGCGCACGACGTTTGCGGAGAACAAAGGCGCGCGCGATATTCAAGTCGTCGTTGTGAAACGGTTTTCGTTTTACTCGAACACAAATGACTAACGGTTAAAACCGTACACGTGTAAAAATAATACGTTCGAGACGAATCGACGCGCATGATATTCATACGCGTGTAGTGCATCGGCCAGATAATAGAACCCTACAGCCGTAGGCGCAACTAGAGGGAGCTTAGCCCCCCTCCCCCGGACCAAGATTTAGCCCTCCCATAAATATTCCATGGTATACCGCATACAGCGTACTTGACTCACAATAGTGTTACATACAAAAAAAGACACATTGCAGTAAATCCAACTTGGCTCAGAATCTAAAATATATTAACATGTTATACATATAAGAATAGGGGTAATCTACAGGTTATTTTAAGTTTTGGTAGGAGGGCTGTAGCCCCCCCACCCCAGATTTTTTACCCTAGTTGCACCTATGCCTACAGCGTGTTGCGCGAACAGACTATTCGGATTTTAGCGCACTCGTTCTCACTTACGTTTACGGTGGAGCATGTTTTACAAAGTAACATAATAGCTCTCCGTCGATTACAGTTTCAAATCCATTGACGTGTACGCGTCTATCAAAACATGGCTACGAAGTGTTGAGTGCACTGGATTTCACTACGCATAGCAGTGTCGTTGTTATTATCATTGCACGGTCGACGGATCGAATACGAAACGCAATGAGTGTATCTTGTCCGATTTGTATAGTTTTAGTACTTTGATACGACGATGGATTGCAGTTTTCACGGTTATAACATCGATAATAATATGGAATACTTAGGTATTCTTTTCGATATTTATGTTTCAGCGCAATATGGTGTACGTGAGAATCGGACTCAGCTCATTAAAGTAACCCAATTCTATGTTCTTTTTATAATGGTCTACACGGATTTTAATTATAATAGGCACAGTATTAGATGGCAATAAAACGAATAAATTTCACGTGAAAAACAATCGATAAAATAAACCGCTAACGCTTAGGTATGTAATATTTACTTAAAATGTTATCAGTATTTTTAACATTTTAATCTTTACCAATTCAGTAACCATATATCTTATGATTTCATACTGAACCAACACTAACGACACTTGATAAATAATACTACTTAGCTATTTTGTCATTTTCATCCCACAATCGTCATTATAAATTCAACAACATTTTAATCGATTTCAATTATAATTAACTCGATATTTCGTTTAAACAACAAAAACAATTAATATTGTGTCAGCTAAGTTATGTATATTTTAAACTTTGAATTATAATATGGTCGGATATATTATTATAATGAAGGATAAAACTTTTCAAACATCCGAAGTTTGATGATAAAAAGGTCAATTTTGTTAACTCATATATTTTCACTGTACATAATATACGTAGACAGGTTGAGTTTTAAGAATTTTTATTAATTTTAAATAAATTTATGTATGAATAAAATAAGGTACACAAACAATTTAAATAATATATACTGTAGTTATTATTTTAATAAAAATCAATAAAATATTTACTTGTGTGTACCGCAAACAATTCAATCGAAAACATTTAAAATACTACATTAAATTTCTAGTGATCATGAGCTACATATAATAATTTTTAAAACAATATTCGGCAAACCTAAAGTTATAAGAGTATACCGTAAAAAATATATTTTCTTAAAAACCACAACATTATTTATCATTTTTTTTTCTTTAAAAATAATATTATATCCATCTAAAATTGTACATCCCTCCTTTAAGCCTTCGAACATTTATCATTGTTTCCGGTTGAATCCATTATTTTATTTTTTAACGTTATATTACGACTGAATTTATGAAGGTAAAGATAATTAGAGAACTTAAAATCTTTTAGACCTATGTATTTGAATTTATGCTCAAAAGACCGCAAATTTGCAGTGAATATGAACAATTATTTTAAAAGCAAACGTATATTAAATTACAAGAGAGCGGTAAACGACGATGAACAGATGTGGACGGATATAATTGGTAACGTTGTTAAAACGTTAAAAAACTCTTCAATCGTTTAACAGCTATTTAATATTAAACTTAAAAATCAACAATAATAACACAAACAGCAGTTGGAGTTTATAACAGTAACCGATGTAGCCCTGATTGTTTTAACATTTCGTCAGAAGCATTAACTATATTCGTTCGTCTTTTTCTCAATATCTTTCTTTTTCTTTTTTTTTTTTTTTTTTTAAGTTCGATGTAAGTATTAGGTCAAAGTCCGGGTCAAAGTTTCCAATCGCAATCTAGTTAGAAAATATCAACTTTTTACCAAAAGATTGCCATTACTATGTACACTATATACACGTATTGATTCGAAACAATTCTGTTACAAGCGCCAATCGGTCTGCTGGTCGTGATCGTTTTATGACGTACCTACTTTATTAAAAAATATGAAATGCAAAAAATTCACGATTTCCTTAGTATAAAAACTCGGAACAAAATGACACACATTTAAATGACATCCGAGAAAAAAAAATAAAAAATATATGACTCTAGGTAGCGTAAAATAATAAAACATTCAATTTGTCCACTTATACACAGCTGTACGTGCAAGAAATACTTAATTTATTTGGTATATACCTATTATTACATTGAATAAAATCAACTCGAGTGTACGGTTATCGCGTCAATAGCGTAAGAACTACGTTAGACCATTACAGACCAATCACGATTTCCGAATGTTTGATATTCGCACACGAATCAGAATCATAAACATCGAGCACAATTCCGTGTGCTCTGAATATAAATCGTAAACAGTTATATTATAAATTATAGTACAGTGTGATGTGAGTCAAAGTGAAAACATTCACAATGAGTATTGTGACTCGGCGAATGCTTTATCTTTGAACTAATCGTATTGTTGTGTATAGAACACTGCACGAATAGCTAATATAATCAATACTCAATCCCTCACCGCACATTGATCGATGATACTGTACAGTATACGAATAAACAATTCCCTCGCTTGGGATTTGCACATTTGAAACAAATGAATTTGTTAAAAAATAAAACCGACGAGTGACAAGAGCAAAACCTTCAAAAATAATTATTCCGAGTCATCCAAATTGTGCTGCGAAATAATATGTTATAGTTCCACGAATTAGATTATTCAGTGAAACAGTCGGTATTTTTACAACCTTTTAAAACACACCACCTTCATCTAGAGCCGTAATAAATGATTTATATTCATAGTTTATATTTCCTACACGTGTTCGATAATATCACATAAAACGTAATGGTCGACGAGAGTAAAAAAAACAAAAACCGATTACCGATATAGTGGCGTACCCAATAATAATGTTTAAATATTAATTTCATTTTGGATTAGATAATAATATTCGGAAATTTTAAATCGATACGAAAATCTGCGTACGTTTGGACTGTACATTTTGATAAATGTACCAATTATAACAGTTTGCTACGTTAAAAAAAACTAAAAATCACAGACTATTGATTTTTGACCCGTGCTACAAAAGCTACAGAAAATAATTGAACAAAATTTTTTCTGAGAAATTAATAGGACCTATCTCGAATAATTAAAACAAAATGTTTGTTCCCAATGACGATATAAGATTTTGCCACGATGCAAGACGCCGCAATGAACGCAATTGGTTAAATCGCGTAAAAATTGTGTAAAATAAAGGTTTCTAATGTCTTTCGAGCACGATTATTATACATATATACTTGTCTATACCACAGTTTTCGGACGTAGATAGGTATCCATAATAAATTCAACGTTGCCTCGTGCGTGCATAACATTAAATTGTACTTTGATGTACACAAAAGTTACCGAGAATAATATAGCATATGCATCATCCGTTCCCCGTACAGTATAGGTGGTGTTCACGTATGCGCGCGCTCGTACATAATATAATGTAATATATAAAATATGATTTAATATGTTTAATGGATAAAATTGAAATTAGTGCGCCGCCGGAGAACCTAACAAATATTAAAATAAAAGTTTTCTTCCGTTTTGCTCGAAAGGAGTATAAACTCCGCGAACCAAAGCGTTCAACATTTAGATTGAAACACTGCGCCGTCATTATTTATAAAACGCCATGTTTCAAAAAAAATAAAAATAAAAATTCGTAGATCCCGTGGACGCGCATCGTATCACTCACATCCGATCAGTGTTGGACTTAACTAGATAAATTTATCTAGATAAGTTATCTAGATAGATTTTTTGTCATCTTATATCTTATCTAGATAAGTAACGCTAAGTTATCTAATTACTTATCTAAGATAAAATTTTTACTTATCTAGATAATTGTTTATATTCTTGCCAAGATTAGAGTTATTTTTATTCTTGTACGGAGACGAATCCAACAAATCAGAGATCATCAAAATCGGTCCAGCCGTTCTTGAATTATAATTTCTGTAAATAACCTGACTTTCTTTTATACATTTAGATTTTGTATTCATAATCATAATTCGTGTACTATTAATAAGTAATTATTATTTCTTGGTATGACATTTTGTTTGAATTTTTGTGTCGGGTAAATATTTTTGGTATTTTTAAACTTAATTTCTTATTTTTCCACGGAAGTTTTAAATATAATAGGTATTTGATTTTAATATAAACATGTCACTCATACGCTGAATAGTCATTATTTCCCTTTTGGAACCCG